GAAGTAAGATATAAAGAGAAGAAGAAAAACGAAAGGAGGCTATAGAATTAAAATAAAGGGACGTATCCCCGATTTTTATAGGTAAAATCTCGCTTTATTTACGTTCTTATCTATATTATATCGTTTATCCTATTATATACTTCCTCCTAATTACCTATTACCCTATATAAAAGTACGCGATTCTTAAAGGAGGGATGATTTATTATAATATAATTAGACGTAAGGCTATTCCTAGATTAGTACCTTAGGCCTATAGGAGGTTTGACCTCTCTAGAGGGGGATCGCCCGTATTTCCCTATCCTTCCGAGAAGGGTTCCCCGTAGGAATAGGACCCCGCTCTATATATCATATTTCCTCCCGCTATTAATATAGGGAGACTATATATAAATCGGACTATATAGAGGAAGCCTAACGGCTCTTTAAGAAATAGTCTTTGACTTTTGGAACCACCTATCTTGTTACCTTCTCCTACCTGATTGATAGGCACCTACCCTGACTTGCAGAGTATCTTTTAACATAGGGCCACTCTAGTAAGCTCTCAAAGGTTCACTGTCAATTATTAGCCGGTATATATATATCATCGTGACATTTCATGACTTATATGTGTTAAGATCTCTCCTTGGTCATATGATGTTTCCCTACATTAGTAGTAGTCTATTTCTTACCTTTCCTCCAGTACAACTATCATCCATCCACAATACATTACATTGTGTTGTTTCATGATCTCATCTACTCTGTAGACTTCAACAATATGTTCTGATAGTCAAGAGTAGGAATAAAGAGATGGCAAGGAGCTGTGGCCTATGCCCTGGTGCATTGTAGTCGAATGCCCATAGATCTGGTTGTCCTAGTCTTTCAAGTCAGTGCAGTTTCAATCAAAATTTGTGGGCTTTCACATGCCTACAGCATAAGCAGTTACGCCTCACCTTTTGAGGGTACATCCAGAGGTGGGACTATAGACTAGCTCAGTCAGCTGCTATATGGCAGTCTCTTCGCATAGACACTTTAACTAGCCAACCCAAATATCGTATCGTTGATCGGCTGCGTGAATAACACAATGGATCTGCTGGGAATCATATCTCTCACAGACACTATCTGACTTGCTGGTCCGCGTTGTATCCTGTAATCCACCTTGCACTTTGACATATACAATCATGAGATATTCCATGTTTGTCATATTTGTCGGCCCTCGAAATGTTTCGAGGGCCGCCCTCTAAGGGCATGTAAAAGAGGTGCCCGACCCGCGGGCAGGAGGACCCTACCCTCCCGCCGTAAATGGCGGGTCTGTGGGCGGCCCTCGAAGGGCAGCTCGCGGGCGGTTATGAGGTCTATGTTGTATACACCCTTATGAAAAAGGGGACCCTCATTGAGGGACCCTTGGCAGGTGGTATCCGTGTGGTGCTTTGAACTGTTCCTCTGCCGAACCCCGCTACTGAAGCGCGATATTTGGTGCTCAAGGCGTACCTCCTCCCCTCTACCGCCCTCGACACATGTGGTCGACAGCTACCAAGGATGTTTGGGTGAGAACCGGCTATCTACACCGAGAGTCATGGCACATAGCCAACTACAAGGCCGAAGAATTGTTTAAAAGAAAGAAGAAAACATCGCAATACTGGAAATCAAGTCCAACTGTGCACAGATCACATTGCCATACTAGCTCTCTTGAGCGCTGGAATAATAGCATCTATCAACGTGTGAAAAATGATCACTTCACTCCAGTCCGACTATCTTAAGGGAATCCTTCCAGAGACGATCCTCCTCCTCAGGGTTATATGTTTGCTTCACCCATCCGGCGCCGAAGGTTTGGCCATCGTCCTCACCACGGTCCGCTTCCTTACAGTCCTCGAGATACTTGCCACCCTTTGCCTCCCACTCCTCGCCCACAGCCGCCCACACCGTCGTAGCCGCTCCCTGCTGGGAAGACTTTAAGATCTTTAGAATGTAGGGGTTGGTCATAATAGCCTCTAAGAACTCCGGAGGCATATTACGGGATATATCAGTGTTGATCGCGCCGGGGTGGAGACTGGTAGCATGTAGTCCCTGGGAACCATATAACCGCTCAATGGTGTTGGCCAAATATACCGCAGCAAGCTTAGCGTTGTTATACGCAGTTTCGTGGTTATATTCGCTCTTTTCGAAGTTGTAGTTGTCGCTACTTGGGAGAGTGCTAGCTCGGTGGGCAGATGAAGCCACGACCACGACTCGCGAATTGAGCTCGGGAGTCACACTGGCTAGCAAAGCTTCCTTCAGAAGCTGGAAGAGGAGGAAGAATCCCACATAGTTGCCAGAGAATTGCGCCTCAATGCCATCTTCGGTGAGCGTACGGTTCTGGATACCCATAACACCCGCGCCGTTGATAAGAATGTTGACCTGGCCCTTGGACTCGGCGAGGAGTTCTTTAGCTCCAGCACGAATACTCGCAAATGAGTCCAGATCCAAGTCGATCAGCGAGACTCGGCCGGGTTCTAGGATCCCGGCGAGGTTCTTCTCGGCCTTAGATCGGTTGCGGGCTGTGAGGAACAGAGTGGCCCCGGTGGTCTTTAAGGCACGAGCTGTCTCGAGACCAATGCCTGATGTGGCTCCAGTGATGACAATAACCTTACCGGCCAGCTTTCCTTCGGCACCCTCATCTTTGATGATTTGAAGGGCGGTTGGTCGTGCATCTCCGGCGCCTTGAGGGTCGAGATGCGCGGCAGCGTAGGGGCTTGGCGAGCCCATGTTGAGAAGTAGAGGAGAAGACTTTCAGATAAATATCAAGGTATAATGACTTGAATGAATCGACAATTATGGCTACTTATGTGAGTCCATTCTTTGTATAGTTCGGCCTCCAGTTTCTCCGTCCATGGCCGATGTGCGCGATTTGTCATCCTTTGCGGCCGCTTACGCGGCCGCAAATGCGGTCGGAAATGATCCGGTCATCTCCGCCCAATTTCCGCCTGTCATACACATCCCGCATTTTGCGGTCATCTTTCCCCACTTAGTCTCCTTGCTGCGGCCGTCAAAGCCCGCCAGAAACCGAACTCCGTCCACCTTCTACCTTCATCATGCAGACCCCCAGTCATGAACCCAGCCTCGACCTAGCCCCCCAGTCCTGTCAATCCTGCAGGTCTCGCAAGAGGAAATGCGACAAGGCACTCCCCAGATGCTCCCTCTGTGCTAAGTAAACACGAATGATTACATTACAGCAGCAGAGCTAACGCGGGCCAACGCAGGCGTAATCGAAATTGCGAGTATTGGAGACCAGATGCGCTTAGTCACTCGGCCACCACCTCAAGCCCGGAGCGAGGATGGTACCCCTCCCCTCTGGACGAGCAGGCAGATGTTCGGACTATTGACTTTCCGACCATCTTGTTTCTCGATCCGGCTCTGCTACAGCACGGCTTAGTGGAGACTTCACCTGCGACAGGGACTGTCCCGCAGTATATTATACAACTATTAGGCGATTTGGATGAAATCCAGCTCACGGCAACGCGGTTTTTCGAGCATGTTCATCAATGGATGCCCTTCATCTCGAAGAAGCGCTTTTATGACTTATACCTACAGCCCTCATTCCACTCGCGGCCCGATGTTGTTCTTCTTTTATTGGCACTGAAGCTCATCACTACCTTCCCGCCGGCTGGTTCTCGTAGTCCCCGGACAGCGTTGTATAACTCAACTAAACATTTTTATCTAAACGTGGAAGGGTGTTTCTCTATTTTAGTACTGCAAGCTGGAGTTCTTGTTGCTCTTTATGAGCTAGGACACGGGATCTACCCTGCTGCATTCTTGTCGATCGGGACCTGTGCGAGGTATGCCTATGCCTTGGGTATTAATGTCAGTCGCACGGTGCCAAGTCGGAGAGTGCTCACTCTGGTGGAGGTTGAGGAGCGACGGAGGGTCTGGTGGGCTATTGTCATTTTAGACCGGTTCGTCGCTGTCTACCGTGAGCGTTTTATTTCGGATACTAACAACATAAAAGCTTTGTGAGCATCGGCTGCCCGGGACGGCCCTTTGCAACTGCAGATCCAAAATTGGATGACTTTTTACCAGCAGATGATGCTGCATGGGACCAGGGGGTATGTCAATTCGTGATCTTTGGCTTTTAGCTGCTGATCTTGAAATTAGACCGTCAAACCCGATAGGTTCTCGACTCTCTCGTCTCCAATGACGGGACATATGAGTAAATTTGCTCTGCTTTGTCAAGCCGCCAGATTATTGGGCCAAGTTCTCTATCACCTCTCAACCGACTTCACCAGCGAAGATGATGTTTGGATACAGCTCGATCGTACCCTGCAGTCAATGTTAGGCGCTGCATTAAATATTGATTTCCCGGACTATGATCAAATCACCTTCGTGTACAGGTTAGTACTACAATGGTCACCCTTATCTTGTATAGGCGTTTACACCAAACTTAGTGCCCTGGTCGCCCTATACACACCCTGGTTATTATCCGATGCAGTTGAAGAAATCGAGGCCTATCGTTCACGACGAGCGAAGGTTATCCTTCAACAAATCACGGAGCGTATTAGTGCAAATCTGATCGAGCGACAATGCTTTTTGGGTCGGGATCCAGAGGATATGTCCCCGTGGGGCCTGTATTTTGCCTATCGCATCTGTGGCGCCCATATGCGGACCAGCAGTAAATCAGCGCATGGCCTTGAGGTGGTGAGGAGCCTGCGTGAGGGGTTCATGAGTATTGATGTACGGTGGAATGTTGCGGGTGTTTATCTGCAGCTATTGGAGGCCCAGGAGGCTATCAATATGGAGGCGTGAGTTTGTGATCTATATATTGAATTCAATTATGTTCACATCTTTCTATGCAATTATGAACAGTTCAACCATGTTTTCCATCGCAATCTCTACCCAAGCCATCGACAAACCAGAATAGACGACTCCCAGTGACAACTAAACTCTACATAAGCGCCCGTTTCCGTCTTCATCCCACCGGTCACTTCCCACTCCCGTCTTCACATACAATAACTGCTGTGGGTCATACTTGTTCTTGACACTCAGCAGTCTCTCTACTTATTCCCGTAGAAACTTTCCTTCCAATCTGCGTACAGATGATTGGCCTCATTCAGATAGACCATACCACCCGGTGTCGCCTTATCCATCATCGGCTGCAGCGTTTTAGCAGCATACTCATCCCGCGCCGTCATTTCCTCTGGCGTCGCGTTCCAGTCCCAGCTGCCCGCAGGAGCACAAAGAAGCATCCCATCGCGCCACGCGGGATGCAACGAGTTATCCGGATGGGATTGGGTGGCGACAGTGAAACTGTCGCAGTAGAAGGGAGAGAAGGCTTCCACAAGAGTAATATTGCGGAAAAGGTCTGTGACGACAGCATTCGTGGTAGAGTTTGCCACGAGTGATCGAGGGATGATGCGGCTGTTGGTGAAAGGATAGAAAGCGTCGTAACCGTAGGGGGCTGGACCCAGGTAGGTGTAAAAGTGGGTATAGTAGTTGGGTGAGACTTGTGGCGTATTGTAAGGAGTGATATTGCGGTGTGCTAGGTCAGCTAAGAATGGCTTAAGCAACCGATTGACCTCGGTGAGATTTGCACCAGGCATTGTTCCGTATGCGGATAAGGAGTTCTTCCCGACGGAGTAAGTGAAGGAGTTGCCGCCATCAAGGAAATCAGGAAGGAGTGCGTGGAATGCACCCACGGCCTCCCAGTAAGCAGCGTTGCCAACGATCGAGTCGTTGAAGCTGAGAAGGGTACCACCCACTATACTGTCCGTGTGCAATCGAGCGGTCATCGAGAGAACGACGGCAAAAGTGCCACCGCCACCACCGCTGAGGGCCCAGTAGAGGTCCGAGTTTTGATTTGGGGTCGCTATGAGGTGCTGACCGTCGACTGTGACAACCTCCCACTCCAGCACATTGTCGGCACTCGTGCCGTAGGAGCTAGAGAGGATTGAGTGACCGCCACCCTGTGTATAACCACCTACGATACCGACGGTAGGACAGGTACCCCCAACCATGCGGTGACCTGTCGAATTGGCAAGCCCGTAGGCTTCCCATCCTTCAATACCAGCACCTAGCTTTGCAGCGGGCCCTTTATAATAGGGGGAGCTGTAGGAAGGGATGTACTCGGTGGACTTGAGATTGTGAGTCCAGAGGGACAAGCTGCCTCTCCCGGTGGACTTGCCCAGGTAGCTGGATTTATCAGTAAATTCTGGTTCAAATATTAATTTAGAGGTATAGTACGTACTCATGTCCTGTGTTCTTGATCACGATTCTTATGTTGTACTTTTTAGCAAACGCAATGGCGCCCCGGACATCGTTTACTCCAGTGACATTGACAACGTAGTTGGGGAAGTTGCCCAGCTCACAATTCTGAGACACATTGGTGAAGGGAACGCATGTGTAGTTCTGGAAGTACTGGCTGAGGACATCTCCAGGAGCGGAAATACTGGCGTGTGTCAGTGATGGGACCCCATTTGGACAGACTGTGAGACCCACTGGCTGGGAAGTGCCACATCCCATGTAGCTTTGAGTTGGGCACAGGCCGAGGAATCAAAAGTTCCGAAAGAAGATTCATGGCATACGCTAGCCTCAGGTATAGTTGCAATCAAGTTTCCATTGATGGTCTTGTTGAGCTTGGCCCACTCGTGGGATTTGGGCCATGCGGCGTCCCCAGGGAGAGCACGACACGACGGCAGATTGGAATGACTGGTATTTGTTGCCAGTCCAAAGGCCGTACTTATCAGACCAAGAAACACAAAAGATTTCGTAGTCATAATGAGTATCACACTAAGTGAACAGGGAAGTGTTCGACAGTGAAGAGGGAATGAATGGTTGGGATTCGAGCCAACAAACTTTCCCTCGAGGGGGCTTTTATACCTGACACGAGAAGAGGTGGACATTCATGTTAGCGGAGCCAGTACATCCGGAAATCATATCATGACAATGGCTGAGCAAGAAAAGTTAACTCCCAATCTAGTTAGCTAGAGCTTCCTTCCGTACCTGACGATCGCCACATGGTCGCCAAGCGATGAGATCGCAGCTGAGGCTTAGCAGCATGGCACGTTAGCGGCAGAAGCCTGCATGAAGTGGCATGAGGCAGATAGGCAATCATTGTTTAGCTCTCAGACCGGGACAATTCCTATGTTAGCGTCAGCAAAAAAGCTCGGAGTCCGAAGCTAGGGTTGCTCGGGATAGATGAATCTGACTCAGCGCTTTGATCGGCGAGGCGTACGACTATATAAATCGGGTTGGGGCCATCGCCATTGGGGGCCAAATAAAAGCCTAAAGCCAATCAGCAGAAGGTTGGCATCGTATATTATCCCACCATGACGGCTACTGAATCCTCCCAAGTGCGCCTCTCGCCTGACCATCTCGGCATCGCTCGTATCGATGCTGGCGTGGTGCCGGGCGCACTCCAGGCTGCCAACAAACTCCTGCAAAAGAATCATGACGAATGGCACATGTACTTTCAAGACATTGCCGGGCACAACCATATCCCGCATAGTTTGCTCACCGTACTGGCCATGGGTGGGGGCCCCGAGCAGCTCCGACGGGCCTATGATGACGGGGAGATATTGCAGCGGCCGCTTCCTTCGTTGATACCAGAATCCATTGGAGAATTGAGCGACCCGCGGGCTTTCTTGTCTCGCATGGTCAAGATTCCCGAGTACACCAACTTCCTCGTCTTCTTTGAGCAAGAGATCGAAGCCAAAGGGTGGAAAGCCGTTGTCAACGAGTATTGTTTCAGTGGAACATCTGTTGCGGAGGCTGTCTTTGCTCAACTATTCGAAGGCCTTTACCACCCAATTATTCACTTGGGATTTGGTGTCGAGTTTGACCAACCCAGCATCGTCGCCGAAGGTCTGGCCCAAGCGGCCTCCCATCACCCGGGCCACATTTGGACCCCATTCTTCCGCCGCAGTGAAGAGTTGGCCCGCTCAGGATCCATTCAGCCCAGGCCGCTTATTGAACTCTACCAAGCCGTCCGTGCCAACGAGAAGATCCGGGCGTCTGCTCGTCTGCAAGATGGACCATTCCGCGGACAGGGAATGGTAGAGCGGGCCTCGGATGAACTTGTCCCTCTAGCTGCTCAGTTCCAAGTGACTCCAGAAACTCTGGAGCGCGCCGCAGCGGAGGTAATCAGCTGTTCAGCCTTCACGACCGCCGCTCAAAAGCCCGGCAAAACGCCCAAGGTCGACTTTTTCTATCTGCATATGGTAACCTCTGCGTTCTTTGTCCAGCTTCTCCTCAGCGAGGATTGGATCTCGATTGAGAACAAAGTACGTTTGGTGGAGTGGAAGGGGCGTATTGACCTGACATGGTACGCGGCCAACGGATCACCAGAGCTGCAGAAAGAGGTGGTGAATGAGTATAAGCCAACCTTGAGTAACGACATGGATTGGGCAGAGTTATATCGCGCTGCAAATGAGGTTCACGATGATGGCCATATTGTGAAGTTCATACGGGCGCTGAAGAATGGAGAGGACGTAGTGACTCCGTTTGAAGGGGGGCCAGGGGCTGCAGACTTCCCCGTTCAGGGTGATATGTGGCTGAAGATGGCAAAGTTGTGCTACGATGGCACAGCGGAAATCATTGATGAGCCAAATCGATTGTTGTCGAGGAAATGGGTGTTTGGTGCTGGTTTCGATCTCGCGTGGAAAGAGATTCCAGAGTTGGCTTAGGTCAATTGCATTGCTCAGCTATACTTACTTAAATACAAGCACAGCTTTGGCAGAAGACTATAAGGCTTAAAAGCGTAGTTTCAAATTAAAACTATTGAATAGTTTCAAGCAATTTGGAGAAATCAGAGCACAACTAACAACCATCGTATCCATCAACAACCTCGCCACCCCGAATGTACTCTTCTACCCAGCCAATAGTCATCCTGAAATGGTCAATGAGAATACATAGTTCAGAGAAAAAGAAACAAAAAGAAAAAGTACTTACGAGCTCCGCTTTGTATCAGCAAAGTTTTCATGATCACCAACCAGATGCTCCTTATACCACGGATCGTCCTTCATGCGCTTGTAGTCGTCGACGCTCTTGAAGATCACCTGACTGAAGCAGTCAAAATCGGCAACCCGCGCCATTTGCGAGTCAAACAGTTTTCCCATCAGCGCGCGTGTCGAGGTTTGATTGTGAATCTGGTCCATCAGCCCCTGAGTCACTAGAGATCCAAAGAGAGACTGACCTGAGTCCAGCGTTTGACGCCATATTTGACCATCAGATGTTTGGTTAATGGGGCCGAAACATTCACCATATGACTTCGGTAGTCTTCTTCGCTCATGCCTGGTTTGCGATAACCACATATTGTCAGGCAGAGGTACTTGTTCTCAGGGGAGCCAAAGAGCTCAGGAATTTCAGGCTCATCGATTGATACCATTGTTGCGGGACGTCAAATTGATGAATTCAGAAGAGGTTTAGGCTAGTGTGGGATTCCTCGTTGAATAAGTCTAAAGGAATGAGGTGCAGTCTCGGTCTTTTGTCACTTGAGTTTTGACCATACGGTAATTTTAAATTATATAGGGATCCCCGGTCTATTCCTGCACAATCATACGTTGCTAAGCCCAAGGTCTCGGGGGGTTTAAAACTATTTAGGCTTGCATTGACTGCCAGAACGGTGAAAAAAAACGAACACTGCAAATATGTCCCCTTCCAACATTGGGACCCAGGCCACGGCTGTGGTAGCCGGCTCATTTCTCGCAGGCAAGCAACGGGATGAACAGCCGCTATAGAAGTTTACTCTAACAGTCAAAGGTGCCATGGTCTGTCTCTCGGGGGTTGCCATCCCGGTCTTCCTCGACACCGACACCGATGCCGCGCACCTGGTCCGCCAATGGGTGCGTGTTTATCACTACGGCCACATTTACATGCCTGCACTTTGTCTCGCAACCTGCGGGCTATACGGATACATAGCCCTAAATCGTTTGCAACGCCGGATTTACGTGCTGGCTGGTCTAAGCACGATCGCTATGGTTCCCTTTACTTGGATCTTTATGGCCCCAACCAACAACACTCTGTTTCATCTGGATGGACTGGACAACCTTTCTTCTATTGAACTCGCAGCAGTGCAAGATATTGTGATAAGATGGTCTTGGTTACATTTGTTTCGATGTCTATCTCCCATAGTTGGTGTTCTGCTGGGCTTCACGGGTTTGCTACAGGAGCTCGGGTTCGGGCTATAAATCTGAGAGAGAAACGAGTATAGGCTCTGGAACTTCGGTGGTTTCTGGTTTTGTTGTCATTTTTTGACCCGAGTGGCCAGTTTCTCCTTTTGTCCTCCGGCTTTTACGGACATCATATTGAGCAATGAATAGTGTGCATGGTATTTACATGATCGAAATCTTCTATATATGCCCACTCCAAAGTCCTTTGATCACACCACAGCTTTCTGTCGGGAATCCTAGCTTCAAATAAGCCCCCTTGATCTCATTCTCGCCCAATCAAAATAACAACAGCGACCATGAATCTTGATACCAAGATCTTCGCTCAAGATAAAGAGTTCTGGAACAACTATCTCAAAGGCCGCCCTCAAGCCCCCGAGTCGTTCTTCAACCGCATTTTTAATTATCATGAATCCCACGGCGGAGTCTTCGGAACTGTCCACGATGCCGGAGCAGGAAACGGGCCATACTCTCAAAAGTTACGCTCTCGCTTCCAACATGTCATCGTTTCCGACATTGTGGCCAAGAATGTTGGGCTAGCTGAGGATCGTCTCGGAACAGACGGATTCAGCTACCGCACAGCCAAGGTTGAGGAGGTGGATGATATACTGCCTGGTAGTGTGGACATGGTATTCGCGACAAATGTGATGCATTTCCCCGATCAGCAGGTGGCAATGGCCGCCATCGCCCAGCAGCTGAAAGCCGGCGGAACATTTGCCTGTGGATCATTCGGGCCTGCCCGATTTTACGATGCCAAATTACAGGATCTATGGCAGCGGATCAGTCACGAAGGGGGTCGACAATTGTTGAAAAAACCGGGCATCAGCAGCTCCGACACAATTCGTGTCCTGGCGCGCACTGGTGACGCCAATATGGCACCTTTGGATCCGGAAGTATTCGTCTCTGGTGCTCAGAGAGTACATCTCAACTTCAGAAGTGGGGGAATTACTGGGCTGCTGCCTCCGGAGGCTTATCGTAAGACGGAGCCCAATTTCACGGGTCCCGATGACGAGGTGCTTTTCGAAGACGAAGAGGGATGGAGCTTCGAAAAGGATTTGGATGGGATCAAAGAGCATTTCTGCTCATTCCCCTTTGTGGCCGAAAATTTGGCTGTCCTCGCGGGTCTTTTTGCAGAGTTGGATGAACTACTGGGAGATGGACGTGTGGTGCGTGGGTATTTCCCTGCACAAATTATCTTGGCTACCCGGCGTTAATAGATTAGGCAAATTGAAGTATTCTACTTGGAAATTTCTAATTGTTTTTTCTGTGGCTATTAATTTACTGGCGAAAAACCACAAGCTACACGGCCTAGTAATCCTAAAACGACTGCTTAGTTATTGGCGGATATTGTGTTTTAACCACTCCTACCTAAGCAAAGTAAATAATAAGGCATCATCCACCTCTAATTTTATTACAGTATAGCTTGGTATCGGAAAAGGGCTGTGATACGAAATGTGCCGAGTCGGGGCATTAGAAATTGCCCTACTGTCCGATATGCCGTTGAATCGGCCTCCGCAGGGGGCTGACGGTTGGAAAGTTTTGAAGAACCCGCATTTTGGATATTTCGGTATCCGTTCACGATGTACTGATCCAGTCATCTCCTCGTAGCCAATACCATAAAAGTATGTCGCCAACATAATGCGTAGTTACCACAACGTTGTAAACCACTCTCAACATGCCTCGCTACGCAGTCCTTGGGGCAACCGGTAACTGTGGCACAGCGCTCCTCCAAAACCTCCTCAAGCGCCCAGATGCTCAAATCAATGCCTACTGTCGGAATCAAGACAAGCTTCTGCGTCTGCTTCCAGCAATCAAAGACAATGAGCAAGTGAAGGTCTTCCAAGGAAGCATCAAAGATAGAAAGCTGCTTGAGTCGTGTCTCCGTGACTGCCACGCAGTATTCCTTGTCCTCTCGACAAATGATAATATTCCTGGATGTCGCTTGGCCCAAGATACATCGACAGCAGTGATTCACGCTCTCCGATCCATCGACCAAGCCCCCAAGATTGTCCTGTTGTCTTCGGCAACAATAGATGATCACTTTTCCCGCCATGTACCCTTCATTCTTCGACAAGTTCTGCTTCGCTCGGCTTCTTTCGTCTATGATGATCTGATAAAAACGGAGAGAATTCTTCGAGCAGAGGCCGCGTGGTTGACGACAATTTACATCAAGCCTGGTGCACTGTCAGTGGATACCCAGCGAGGTCATGCTCTGAGCTTGACAGATGAGAACAGTCCACTGTCCTACTTGGATCTTGCAGCAGCAATGGTTGAGGCGGTGGATGAGCAGGACGGTCGTTATGATATGCGCAGTGTGAGCGTGGTCAACACTAATGGTCGAGCGAGGTTTCCTTCAGGGACGCCAATGTGTATTCTGACGGGCCTACTGCGTCATTTTTTCCCATTTTTGCATTCTTATCTGCCCTCAGGTGGACCAGGATAGTTATAAGTATTAGAGATTGAATTTGTTTAGTATGGTTGAATAATACTCGGTTGGATCGTTTACCAAGGCTAGTGTTTTATTGTCTTCCAATAATCGATCACAAAACTAAATTTTATTTTCCAATTCAAGCGATTTAGTTTGCTACTGCATTTAGATATGCTCTGCTGGGCTCTATCCGAGGGCCTAACCAACCTCTAGGACCAATCTCCATCCAATAGATTCTCCACCCTCTTCCCCTCGCGGATATCCTGTTGCACCTCCTCTATCGTCCATGGCACAAACTTATGCCCAGGTGGGAAATTGGTATTTTCAAAATCACTTCCTGCCACGAGATGTGCAAATGCTTGGCCATATTTCTCGTACGCATAGGCTTCCGGGTCATGCCTGAAGACCCATTTCGGGAAACGAATGCGCACCTGCTTGGGATCCTTCTCGATTGCTTCCCAATTGCTGGAAGATGCATTCAATGCCTGGGAGTTAACGAAAGCCATCTTCTGTACGCAGCTAACACGTTGATAGCGCAAGAGGTTATAAACCTTAGCCCCAAGTGGCGCACCAGTAGGTCCACCGACAGAGGCAAGTTGAAGACACGCGGCCAGCGTGGCGGCGTCTTCCAGTGCTAGCGTAGCGCCAGCCGCGGAGGCAGGCACACTGGAATGTGCGCAGTCACCTAGTTGCACGACATGACCTCCTTTGGAAGTCCATTGGGGTCGCAGATTGCGCCAGAGCAGTGGCCAGTGAATTACCGCGCCGCAAGGTGCACATCTAATCAGGCCTTCGACAGCTGGATCCCAGTTTGGTACGCGTTGCAGCACTTTCAACACTTCCTCCGGGTCGACATCTGGATCCCACGACTCGGTCGGATCATCGCTTCCGTCGGTCAGAAAGCTGTTGCGTGGCGTGAGCCCGAACGCAATCAATTCGTCAGACACGAAGAGTCCCATGTGCATGCCTGGGCCGAGCCAGTACTCCTTTGTCGATGTCCCAGGACCCCATCGCTTCTGCACTGCTTCGTTGTTCTCGGTCAGCTTGCGAGGATATGCGCTGCGATAGACAGACATTCCGCTGGACCGTGTGGGCATGTGTTCGCCTGCGACGAGCAACTCCGAGCGTGAGCGGAAGGCATCTGCCGCCACAACTATGTGCGCAACTCGGATTGATCCATCCTCAACGACCACGCCTCCCAGTCCTGCGGCTTCATCTTCAAAGTAGCGGTCCACGCGCTGTCCATACTCGACGCGGAGTCCGAGCTTGGCCACCTGGCGCAAGAGCATTTGGTAGAACTGCTTGCGGATCTGCACGGGTCCAACGAATGGGGTGTTCTTTCGCTCCCCTGCGTGTTCCGGGTCATTGTAGGTTGGATTCGAGGGACCGTAGATGATTTCACCACTGTGTCGGACGTAGTAGGTTGGTGCATCAACTTTGTCTTCTTCAATCTCGCGATACATGTCTGGCCAGTGACGGAAGACAGCAACTGCGGAAGGTTGAATGATGATCAGGTCACCTATTTGTGTTAGGAGCTTTTAATAAGATTGATGGGTGACGGACATACCGCTATAGTTAGGACCTGTGTTGCGCTCGAGGATCCCAACCACATTATGTCCTTTTCTCCAACACTCAAGAGCCGTCATGAGTCCTCCAAAACCAGCCCCGACAATCAAGACGTTCACATGAGTTTCCGGATGACGTTTGGGAAGCCCATCGGTGCTACTTGACGCCCATTTTTCGGGGTCAAACTCATGCTGGTCGCCTGCAACAATGAATTTGTGGTCAGACATAGTGTATATATCTCGTGGAAGCAGATGTTGCGAAGCAACTTTCTTCAAGGAATATGTTTGTGGTTGGGAAAGCTGGCAGTATAATATTTGCAATATTAGCTCTCCTATCTATGAATACAGAAGAACTCGGTGCTTGACAAAGCCCCGAAATGAAACTGGAGTCACCCCATACGAAGCCGGATGAATGTCGTACTTCCAGTAAGCCCTAGAGTAGCTCGGTGTGAAATATCATCGATCACCGACACTCGGCTTATTTTTATCCCCGAGGGATCTGACCTATCAAAGAGAATGAGCCATTCAATATTGAACCCATTTCAAAATCACAGGAATCGTAAGATCCAGACTTTCATTTTGCAATGTTGTCTTTATATCTTTTGGTATGGTTAGTTGTACAATGAAGCCGTTTCATTCAAGCCTCCAGATAATAAATGTATTGCTGTTCATCTCCCTACCAGGCACTCTAATTACGTATTTAATAACGAACGATAAAACAATATCTTTTTGAAGGATAAATGTTGTTTAGAATTACCTGAACAACATCTAATCCTGAAATCCCAGTTTAGAAGATCGTGACTTAACCTTGTATCAGAGCAACTCAGACTGTATGGACTGGTATAGGAACAGGAAAAATAGGATTAAGCGGAATCGAAATCTGGGATGAAAAAATGGTTGATTGATTAAATACTCCGTAGAAAATGCCATTTGGGCGATTGAAGGTTGAAATACCCTCAAGTTACAACTAGAGTTGCGGCTTGACACAGAATTACATAAAAGCAAAGAATTGTGATCTTATATGTGCCAAAAGTGCCGAATCAGTTGCTAGCGGTAAATCATCACTTCATGTTATGACAGCTACTTTTAGCCGCCTTTGATGCACTGGTGTTTCACTAGGAATAGACGTTGGCTGAGGAATGCCTTAACCCCAACCGAGATTGAGGTTCCTTGAAATTTGATAGAACAACTCTCACAGTAACAAGAACACATTTCATATATTCAAAACATCACTAGCTAAGCCTTGCGAAACTAATGGTGCGCTGCCATAACCTGACACAACTTTGCCGGTCCACTCTCGTCATACGACAACAACAAACTCATCCAAGTCAATGTCATAGCTGCCTTCGCTCGCGGGTGCACCTCATCCCCAAATGCAATTAGCGACTTGTCAAGGTCAGCCTTGAAGCTATTGCTCCCCTCCGATGCATCCAAAAGCTTCTCTAGGTGCTCCGCCAGAGCCAAACTATCCGCCATTGCCGTGTTCACCCCCTTTCCTGCGAAAGGAGTCATCAGATGCGCAGCATCACCTACTAGCGCAATTCCCTCGGTGTGGGAGTGTGGGAATGGGTCCAGAGGAAGCATGTATAGTGGACGTGCATCGACGGGGGGGTCCTCTGGCTGGGCCTCGCAGGAAATGGTAAGAAGCTTCTTGATATCATCCGACCAGGTCGAGAATAACTCCGAATCGGAAAGGAGAACTTTCAGAAGATCTTTGTGGTTTGTTGGAAGGACAGATAGAAGGGGATTGGCGTTCAGGACTGGGTTCGGTCCAAACTTATCATCGTGAGCCGAGTCCTGCAGCTTCCGGTGGGTTTCAGCTTGGCATTTAGAGTGCAGGAACAGGTAGAGTCGAGCTGTGCCGTGGATTCCCCTTTGTGAGAGAAGCACCTTTCCATCGCTGCAAGCAGCATAGGTTCCACCGCCAAGGAGCTTGTCAAGGTCGGGATATTTGCCGGGGAGGCTGGGGACGTCGAGAGTGACAGAACAGGCACCACTGTAGATTGGTGCGGGTGCCTTTGGAATGGCTGCCCGGGCTTGAGACCAGGCGCCATCAGCACCCACAATGAGGTCAAAGCTGGCGGTGGTGGATTCAGTAGTCTTGTTCTGGAACTCAATGACACCACCAGATCTCACGGAGAGAACTTTGGTATTCCACTGAATACGGTCTTCGGGGATCGCAGAGAGTAATAGATGGGCCAGTGCATTCCGTGAGATTTCAGGACGACCTTCGCCGACGCGGTCAAGAAAGACGTGGCCGGTCTTATCGACAATGGTCGTTTGCTCGGTACAGCCACTGTCGATTTCGAGGAAGCGCTCGTAAAGCCCACAGGCTTTAACTACCTTCAAACCATACTCTTCTTGCAGATCTAAATTTCCCGACGGAACATTTACATTTGCAGGATCTGGTTTTTCTCTCAGCTCAAAGATCGTGAAATCAAACGCGTGTTTGCTGGCTGTTAGCAGGGACGCCAGGGTCAAACCAGCTGGGCCGGCACCGACGATGGCTATTTTGAGGGATGACGAAGACATTTGAGCGGCAATGGGTCGTTATTGATGGGCTGTACAGAATCTTCAATTGATTGAACTGAGTTCCATGAGCAATGCTGGGTTTATGAGAACTGGCGATGAGGGGCTATCGGGGATCTAACACTCCGAGGCTGCATTCAATTCCCCGAAATCACCGCAGACTGGAGAAAACGCAATAACACTCATTGCGCTTGTAGACGAGACACTCTTGTGTCTGACTTGTAACCCAAATGGCCTCTGGCGTATCCCAACATTCTGAACAATTCTTTACCCTCGAAATTCGAGCTAAGGTATATTAATTTTCAGCATTAATTGCCTTGACATATCTGATTACACAAAGTTGCATCAGATTGCGCGTTCTCATCTAATCTATTTCCAACTGTTTCACCTGTAGCGAAAAAACAATTCAAAACATCATTGGTGCTGCTTCAACCGCCGCCTCATGCATCTATATCTCTCATTGGTCTCCCACTGATCTCCCGCAGGTCTATTGGCTTGCACTTTGGATCAACAGAGGACCCAAAACCAACAACGCGCAGGTGTTGCGAATATGCATCCCAACTAGCTCTCCGCGTGGGTGCTCCATCAGGAGCTTGGTGTCCGCCATGCCGGCCGTCGACCAACACAGGAAGAAAATTCCCAACAGCCGGTGCTCTCGTAGGTAAGTCATTATGTAGATGAAAAGACCGGCTCCGATATTGCGCCCAGTGGAGGACTGGAAGAACACCACCTCGTCTGCGGTTGCGGTTGGGAGACCGAAGGTTTTAGCCACTTGTTCCATTAGCATGTTCATTGCCGTTCAAGAGTGGTGAATTTAAGTACATGAAAGAGGATCCTGGAGACATCTCACTCCAGTGTAGATTAGAAGGGTGGCGACGGTGACAGAAGCCCCATCGAGAAGGTACGGGAGATATGGGACAGGCATGGTGTGTTGCAGATAGCGAGAAAGTCTGAAACTGGGGAGACAAAGAGAAAGAAAGAGAGAAGCAAATTGCGGTATTCAAACGGGTTTGTTTTCGCCCGATCGCTCTATTATATTTGTTAGCCAAGTCCACCACCGGGAGTCGGTACATTCAAGACCGGTGGATTGCTGACACTCGTCTCAGGTCCAATGGATGATGATTGCAGACAAGTCGTCAGGGATCTTCTTCCTGTGCTGAAACAATCATTACCCCTGTATTTAATATTTTTTGGGGATATACATGGGCTTAATATGCAACCCCGATTGCGGAATTGCCCGAGTTGTGCGTCGATAATGATTTATATTCAACAACACATCAAAAGAGCTTGGCCAGTATACTATATTCAAGATCTTTTGGATGAATATTGTATTACAAATTCACCATGTCATTGTCCATCTCAACCATCTACTCCTTATCTGCTATCGTTTTCCCATTGGTCTATATTGGTGTGAAATGGCTGCTGTCTACCACACGGCCGAAGAATTTCCCTCCTGGACCACCCACCGTTCTCGGTCTCGGTAATTGGCACCAAATTCCCTCAGTATGGCACTTCTTTCAGCTTGATGCCTGGGCCAAAAAATATGGCCCCATCATGGGCCTGAAGCTGGGACCTCGAAACGTCGTCGTTCTGAACGATGCCGCACTGGTCCATGAGCTCATTGTCAAGCGGGCTACATCCTTCTCGGAGCGACCAGGCATGTATATTGCCCAGAACCACATTGTTCCAGAAGGAAAGTATTCGTATAGTTTGTTTATGCGAAACGACTACGGCAACCGGCTACGATCGCTGGCCAAACAGACCTTAGTTGGGACAGGCCTCAACAACTTGGCACCGATGCAGAAGGCGGCGGGAGCAAACCTGGTCTATGAGCTTTCTAAAAATGGGGATAAATGGGCAGATCATTTGGTGCCATGGTATTTAAATATCTTGGATCCGATCAGTAATGAAACTAATTTTTTTACCGGTCTAGGTCGCTTGCCACGCCCGTGGCCATGATGAGTGGAGCACCAATTGAGGATTATGTCCAAGATTTCGGCAAGAAATGGATAGACGATTACAACCTCTCGCAGCGGCTTTGGATTGAACTCCTTGATCCTACCAATCCGCCAGTGGATCTTTTCCCCGTCCTACGCTGGGTTCCTGCCGTGTTTGCCCAATGGAAGCACAAAGCACCTGTTGCGCGCAAGTACCTACTTAGTGCATATAATGATCTCATTTTGCAAGCTGAGAAGAGAATGAAATCTCAGGGTGGCACTTTCAGTCCGTTAGCAATCATTCCCAAATTGTTGCGTCAGGCGTCCGACACTTTTACCAACGAGGAAGGGTTGGATATGACGGTGTTCATGGGAGGACTATTGTAAATCCCCTTTTCCCCCGCCCGAATCATATCAAATGCTAACCAAGTCCCAGCGATGCCGCTGTAGGCTCCACGCTGATGTCATTCCATACTCTCCTTCTCGCACTTGCCGCGCACCCTGAAGTTCAACGCCGCGCTCAGGCCGAAATTGACTCGGTTTTTGGATCACAAGAACTTCCTGACAATATTGAGCTCGACAAACTCCCCTATGTAAACGCCTGCGTAACGGAAGCCCAACGCTGGCGTCCATTGGGGGCATACTTTATGAGCCAATTCGGTCTTCCTCGCGAAAGTGTCGCCGATGAGGAAATCTTGGGCTACCGTATCCCAAAGGGATCCTCAGTAGTAATCAACCAATGGTCTATTCATCATGACCCGGATTTCTTCGATAAGCCCGAGCTCTACAACCCGGATCGATATTACAAAAATCCCACCGGAGCTAAGGACGGTATCTCACAGCAAGGTCGGAAGCCAATTTATACCTTTGGTGCAGGGCGGAAGGAGTGTCTGGGAAAGGATTTCTTTTTCCAAAATGCGAGAATCGCGTGTGCGGAAATTTTGTGGGCGTTTGACATTTTTCCGGATGGGCCATTGGACTCGAATCTTGAGACTGGCTTTACCCCTGCGGTTGTGATGATGCCCAAGCCATTCAAGGTGAAGTTTGTACCGCGTCGGGGTGAAGAGACCTTGTTAAGAGAGAAGGAGAAGGCTGATTTGACATTTACCAAGAGTCTTGGATAGACAATTGAAAATAGGAGCTTCTCTGGAACGGGCATACTGCATTTTTACCCCAGAGGGAGAAAGGAGTAATGAGTGTTCTAGCTCACCAACAATTTTAGTTGCAAACCCTCCATGACATGTAAATAGTGATGATAGAAGTTTGTTCTTTTTTCAAGTGTCTGTTCGGAATGCTCCAGTGAAGGCTCCAGTTACTTCTGTATTCATAGACTGAGTAGCTGCTATCTAACCAGGCAAATATAGTAAGATACAAATCAAGCTAGACTGTTTGCTTAATTCCTGTTGCCACCGCAACTGGTCCTCCGTTGGCTGCCAGGTATTCCCCAAACTTGGGCCCAAATTCTTGCAACCTCGCCGTATCCAACATTTCCTCGACCGCATCCACCTTATCTCCAGCCTCTGAAAATGTCAGAAAAGCGGCGTAGTCCATTTGCCATTTGCCCCACGGGAGGGTGCCTTTGGATGAGGCGTATATAGCTGCCTTGTTGTTTGCAGCATCATGGACGACATGGCGTACAGTCAGCTGCGACAGAATTTGTTTAGTGCTTGCTATCCTAACTATAGCGATCTTACCATACCTCATACGACTTGACGGTTGCCATGAGAGCCGGCAAAACCTGCGCAACCTGGGCTCGAGGCCTGCTGGGGATCCCGAGGCCTAAGGGAAGAGTCACTTGGGTGAACCCATCGGAGAAGAGGGCCAGCCACTCCTGAGCATCCCATCTCTTCCAGGCATCGATGAATTTCTCAAGCGTTGCTGCTTGGGTTTTCTCGGGGGCTGGCATATCGAAATGTGGATCTTGTGTCTGGTTATTGAGAGTGGTGGTATCCAGATAGGGATTGTTTTAACAACTTTGGAAAGGTTTCGGTCTGCAAGTTTACAATTATGCCAGCTCTTGACAGCTCCGATTTACATGCAAGGATCCCCCGCCCCGATCGGTCGAGAAAAGGAAAACCGAGATTCGGGCAATAGTCGATGAGCCCGGGGGATTGGCTGCAGGGGAAATGTGCCGTAGCAACACAACAAAAAGCTCTAAGAACTTCCTCCAAGTCCAGCAATTTGTCTTCCAACTCTTCCCTATCATCCAACCATCTAACAATTATAAATCATAATGGGCTCTGCTGCACCCACCACACACTTGCCTTACCGCCTCGATGGCAAGGTCGCCCTCGTAACGGGCGCCGGTCGCGGCATTGGGGCGGCCATGGCCGTCGAGCTCGGCCGCTGCGGCGCAAAGGTCATCGTCAACTACGCCAAATCTTCTGGCCCAGCCAATTCCGTGGTTGAGCAAATCAAGAAGCTGGGTTCCGATGCGGTCGCCATCCAGGCCGACGTCAGCCAAGTCCCCCAAACAGTTCGTCTGTTCGAGGAAGCCGTCAAAGTTTTCGGCGGCCTCGATATCGTTTGTTCAAATGCGGGCGTTGTTTCCTTCGGCCATTTGAGTGAGGTCACAGAAGAGGAATTTGACCGAGTCTTCAGTATCAACACTCGGGGTCAATTCTTCGTTGCTCGGGAGGCCTACAAGCACCTCAATTCCCCCGGCCGCATCATTTTGATGAGTTCTAATACCGCCGACTCATTCACTGTCCCTAAACACTCGCTGTATTCTGCTTCTAAGGGTGCGATCAATACTTTTGTCCGCTGCCTTGCGAAGGACTGTGGAAATAAGAAGATCACGGTCAATGCTGTTGCACCTGGCGGCACGGTGACGGACATGTTCCATGAAACGGCCAAAGATTATCTGCCTCACGCAGATAAGTTAACCAAGGAGCAAATCCTCGATGTGAGTACTTCATCAAGAAACATTCCTAAGATCCGATATTAACCGGCCGCACAGATTGTCGCCAACGTCTCGCCCCTAACGCGCTGCGGATATCCCATCGACATTGCCAAGGTGGTCTGCTTTTTGGCCTCGGCCGAGAGTGAATGGGTCAATGGCAAGGTGCTGGGTGTGGACGGAGGTGCTGCTTAATTTATGTGGCTAGTATACACAAGTGATAGCTATGATTCTACGCTACTATTCTCACCAGAAAGCTGTTTTGCCCATTTCAAACCACTAGGGACTCTGTCATACACATATAGCCCAGTAGGAAAGGTCATCAGTTACAGAGTTTCAAGAAATGTTAAAGATCAACAATATATATCAAATGTCTTGCAGGCACTATTCTTTCTACTCGACGGAGTGATTACATTATGTTGAGCACACAAGCACATTAACAATATGCTTCATAGGGACAAAACGAGGTCTGAACCTGCAGGCAAGCAAGCAACACCTCGCTACCTTCCTGCCTGAATGCCTTACAATTCTACAAGAAGGGAATTAGTAGCTTAAAACTCATTGAAAGAAAACACATGGCAAACTAGAGATATTTCAGGCGCCAACAGTCAAGGAAGGGAGCGCAAACCACTTCTTCACCCCCCTCCGCACACAAAACCCAACTTTCCCATCCTCCGCTAGCTTCCTCAAAACCTCCTCCATAAACGGTCCAATAACCATCGTCCGCACCTGTTCATCTAATTGTTCTCCATGGATCGCCTCAATCAACTCGGTAACGGAGACACTCCCCAGCTGCCCAGGCCGCCCCCTTTCACGATGAATCCGGTCCAACGCAACGAGACACTGCTTCTCCCTTCGCATCTTTTGATTTAATTCGCGCGAAATCTTAGCAGGCAAGTTGGGGATTACAGCCCCATGCGCCGGGTATCCGAGCACGCATCCCTGGGACTGCATCTTGCGCAGTGAGTCCATATATGATCCGAGATATTCGACCGCACTCGTACCGTGACCGAGTACATTATCACCGGTAAACATTGCGTTTTCTTCCTCGAGAATAAAGCACATGTGATCGTGTGAGTGCCCGGGGGAATGAACAGCGCGAATAGTAGCTCCCTCCACTTTGAATACCTGTCCATCCATGATCGGTTGCTGGCTCGGCTCTGGGGTATTCTTATATATCGCATCGGTCAGATGAGGATACATGCGCAGTAGATCCGGCACGCCTTTGGAGTGATCGCCATGCCAATGCGTCAGAAATACGTGCGATAAGTCGATTGAGCGCTCGTCAAGTGTGGTCTCGATCAGGTCGGCCCATGATCGGTAACCTTGTGCGGTGTCGATTATGAGTCGACTCTTTCCGGTGCCAATGATATACGTATTTGTTCCTTGCAATGTGAACTTCGGATGGTGAAATTAGTTATGAGCTGTTTAATTCACACCTAGGCAAGATCTAGCATACCTTTCCAGCATTTTGGCCAAGAATTCGGATCACCCGTGGGCTCAGCTGCTCCACATCCAGCAGCTTTGGCAGGTTGGACTGTTGCGTTGCCAAGTAGTCATCGAATGCACACGCATTTAGGGTTTTGTTGATCTGTTGGTAGCCTCCTTCACCCATGATGATTCACTTGTCAGTTCACGAATGAGGATTGTTTGATCTCAGCAGCAGAGGTGATGGGTCCTCTCTAGAAAAATTGAATCGGGATAGGCAATTATTATGCCGGGGTTGCCAAGTCTATGGTTCCGGTGTCCGATTGATACAAGCATTTCTCGGCATCGGGCAGTTCTAAACTTCCAATCACTATTGGATTACCACAAGGCTCACTTGTTCTTGTGCTTGTATATTCTCGGTTTTTGGTTCCAATTCTAGGATTCTATTCACAGATTCCGGCTATGTTGTGCATGCGTGCTCATGGTATCAATCCTTACATGTCAGGACGTTTCGTAGTTAGGTTGGCCTGCTCTTCCATAAAAGATTCCTCGGACTTTCTGGTGGGTGGCATCTTTCGTTTTTTTTTATGCTTCTCTTGGTTTCATGTCATCAGTAAAAATCTCAAAAGACCGTTTCTTGCATTCACTACGCCTTGTAAAGCTTGAAATACCAACCACCACAGGTAGGCAAAAGGGTCTCCTACCACAATAAAAATAACAAGTAGGCTGTAGCAGAGCGTTAAGAAAAATAACAGGAGAAACATTTCAAGCCAACTTATTAGAATTCCTATTCAATAGTATGTCTAAGCTGATTTATCACCACTCTCTCCAAAATGCTCCTTGCCTTCGGCAAACACCTTGTCATAATCATATTCTGTCCAACGAATCTGAGGACAAACACCTGCAAATTTCCACACTCCATCAACCTTTCTGTACCACATAGTGGCAATACCATGAGCATGTCCCTTCACAGCGACTTCCTTCAAAGTGATATCCGTGTACCGTTGGTGTGGAACTCGCAGCTGATGGGTCCCTTCAATTTCGTCCTCACTGGTCTTTTTCCATGCACTGAGACCAACAAAGTGTTGAGTTTTTAACAGGGGATTGCCCAAAAATCGGGGATCGGATGCCATCACAACAAATTCGTCACTAGGCATGGCTTCCCATATCTTATCAAGGAAAGACCGGTAGTCAATCTTTTGAATCGGTGAGATGAGTTTGAATGTAAGCATGGAAAGACATGGACATACCCTCAGTGTGGGTGCGATGCATTCTTTGAGACGATCCCAGTCCTGAGATGCGTTAGCAAGGAAGCATTATGATGGGGATAGTGATCAATTTTGACTCACTTTGGTGTCGTAGCTGTCTGCCCATTCAAATAGAGCACGTTGACAGCCCGTGACCTCTGTTTCTCGTGTCAGGACTAAGGAACCCAGTAAAAGATTTGATTCGGTACAGACCTTCGAAGGTTGGATCTATGGTCATGGTGGATTGAAGAAATCGAAAGAAACTATCAGGCTGGAGCTAATCTGTTTGCGTATTCGAATAAGTAGGCAAAATACTTGATTGCTACATGAAGTCGTGGGAGAACCGCCAGAGTAACATAGTGCTGGAGTTATCCACCGGTCCCGAGTCAATCGGACAATTCCAGGTACGATTCAACCGAGTTAGTAGGCCCCAAATCCGAGTTGGCATGGCTTCGGTGATCAAGGGTAGGCGGACAGCGAGAACTCCATCATTATGCATTCGGATCATCGGGGAATTTGATATGTACCTGCAAGCCAACAATACCCTGTAACCCGAGGATTGCGGCAACTGCCATGAAAGCTATCAATCCAGTTTCATATTCTTCATCGCGTCTATGGTTGAATAAATCATGAACTCCTCATATTACAGATCCCGTCCCACGTAATCATTAATCCAGGGGAGCTAATTTTTGAATTATGGAGAATTTTTCAATATCTCGCTTATAACTCTCCGTCGCCGAATTGATAGAATATAATACCGCGCGAATTCTCGCGCTGATTTATCTAAATTGATAGAAATTGAAGAGGAATCGCTTAAAAAATATATTCTCTCTATATATCTACGTAGAGTAGCCCCCCGGCCCTCTATAGTACGAGAGATAGTAGATCTTCTTCTTTAAAAGCATAGAACTACCCCGGTTCTTTCGGTCGGCGAAAAATAGGTTACGAATTTTATTAAACGACGTCCTCTCCTCTCCTGCCGATTCTCGAGACGGTACAACTATAAGTATATAAAATATAAAGGCCCGAAAATCATTATAGAGTAGTTTAAAAGATAATCCTTTAATTTAGAATCGACCCTAATAATATCTATAACTTTAATAAGGCCGGTTTTATAATAGGATTAACTATAACTATAAAGGTTATTATCAAAAGGGAATACTATAACGTATTTCACTACCGAGCTGGACATACCCCCGAGCTGGACACCCAGAACACCATAGTAAATGCGATAAATTACAACACAGTATCACAACAACATTAGGCTATAGGGACTTTCCCTTAAGAACTAATGCTTTTTAGGTGCTATCTAGTCTCTAAGAGGAGTTTAAAAAAATTCTATGAATTAGTAATTCAGATATATATAATTCAGACCCTCAGTAACGTAATTTTCGATAGTATAACAATATAGGTTATAGGATTCTTTAAAATCGCTATATAGTGTTCAAAAACTTTATCAATAGCTATCGGCAAATAGTAAAAAAAAAAGACGTGGTCGTTGAGTTACCAGCGTAGAATATATCGTATTTACTATGGTGTTCTGGGGTGTCCAGCTCGGTGGTATGTCCAGCTCGGTAGTGAAATACGTTAGTCGGAGGCTAGTTTTATAACTTAGAAATCGTAAATAGGTAATAGTAGTTAACTATATATATACTTCTAGATAGGCCCTTCCTCTATATATAATCTTTAAAGGTAAAGTTCTTATTAAATTATAGTTCGATAGCCTTCCGGAGGACTAGTGTTTCGAAGTTAGTCCTAACGGCTAGACCTCTAATAAAATTAGCTTTTGTTGGCTTAAAAAGCTCTTTATTCCGACTACTTCTTTATATATAAAGGGGGGGTATCGACTTTTAATACTCGACGGCTATATAAGTTATTTAATATCTAAAATTAATATACTCTATAAGTAAAATAAGATAATATTAATCTATATACTAGCGTATTTATCTTATCTTTTATAATCTCTTAACATTAGTTATTTCGCTATATTAAAACGTATATATAGTCGGATAGTTAAATCTAAGATATAGAACGGCATTAACTATATCGATAAACTTAACTTCCTTAAAGTATACCCTCTCGTACGAATTAAAGCTTTTAAATCAGAGACGATCAAAAATAGCTTCGTAGTAGCTAGTTTAGTACTATTTAGACCTAACCGAGTAATTTCTAAGCTTAATATCCGGCTTCGAACCCTAACCCCCCTAGCTAGCCGAGGTAGTAAATCGAGCCGGAATTTTACCCTAAAAACTACCTTTATAGAGAAAGAACTAGTTATATCGGTAAGCTTTATTAATTAAAGCTTTACTTCGTATAAGATCTTGGGGCCTACCTAGCCCGTTAGATCGTATATTAAACTAGCTTATAAAAGGCTTCCGTCTTATAATATATGGTACTATCTTACTCGCTAACGAAAATAAGGAATTATACGCTACTAACGAGAAGTAGAAGTAAAAGCGTACTAGATCCCTGTTACGATATAATCAGACATGAGGCTATTCCCAGATTGGTGCCTCAGGCCTACGGGCGGTTTGACATCTCCGGAGGGGAATCGCCCGTGTTTCCCTATCTTCTCGGGAAGGGTTCCCCGCAGGAACGGGACCCCGCTCCACGTGTCACATTTCCTCCCGCTAGCCACATAGGGAGACTGTATATAAATTGGACCATATGGAGGAAGCCTGACGGCTCCTCAAGAAACAGTCTTTGACTCCTTTGGGAACCATATATCTTGTTATCTTCTCCTACCTGATTGACAGGCACCTACCCTGACTTGTAGAGTATCTCATAACAATCCCGGAGGTAGATACCCGCTAAAGACGGCCTCTTAGTGTAAGAAGCTTCTCAATTGATTACTAAGCTCGTAGAAGTAGATAAAGAACCCTATACCGGTGCCGGTATAAATAAAGAACCGGCTTTAGAACCACGTACGCGGGCTATACTAAGGTATAGTAGGTATAGAGAGATAGGGCATAGATTTAATAGATACCTAGCTAGATAGATGATTTTAGTATATTTAATTTAATGGCGTTACAGTTGAGATAAATGCATTTGAAATTAATACATTTAGTTGGGGTGGCTACTCGCTTACGGTGGCCACTCGCTTGCCGAATACGTTAACTATCACATGTGAATTACCTAAGATAATTCCAACGTTACATGCAGAAAACTGCGTAAGCACGGGAATACTTCCATTCGTCATGACAATCAAATCTGACGTTATAATTCCGCCCCCAGTAGTTGCATTCGTCATGACAATCAAATCTGACGTTATAATTCCGCCCCCAGTAGCTGCATAAGACCGAGCGGCAGTTCCCAATGCCTGTTGCCTTGGAAACTTTGCGCATATGCAGTCGATAAGAGAGAATTTTCATGGGAAGTAATTATCTCCGTTAGATAAGTGAAGTCCGCAACCGTTTTATCGCTTGAGATCTCAATGCTTAGGACTTGCCCAGAGATATATGCAGGTCTCAGTTTCTGCACGGAAATACCAGAGTTGTGTCGTTGTCTCACGCCTGTCTGTGGGAGATAACCGCAATTCCCACCTATAGCGGCGTAAGCTTCTGGCCTCTAAAGGATTTCAATCTAGACAAGGATACAAAAGTACCCAAGGCACAATGCTGTAACATTCTTTGGTGGCAAAACAGAGCCAAGGGAGCGCACACACCTACCTCTGCAGAATGATTACTTACAGTGCTAGTGGAGTCGACAGGGATTAAGAACCTTCTGCTTATTTCAAGTAGAGCGAATGGAGACTGACTGACCATTCAACATTCGCCGCCCCAATCTTGACCTGAGGGGGCTATGTGTTGTATCCACCAACACAAGCCATATCCGAGCATGGGAGCCCATTCTTACAATGCAATTTCTAGTCGATACTCACACCAATGTCTACCACTGCACAATCCCCTCTGGTAGCAGCAGCAGCAACAGCAGCACCTGTTCGCAGGCTGCGTGACAGCTGCAACCGGTGTGCGGCCTCGAAAATAAAATGCAGCAAGGAGAAACCCTGCTGCGCTCGCTGTGCAAAACAAGGGAAGGTATGCGAGTACTTTGCGACAAAGCGTGCCGGACGAAAGCCCGGAAATCGAGCGCAAAATTCAACTTCACCCCCAGTCACGCAGGCCTGGATGCCAGCGACGTTATCCGAGCCCACGGATAGACATCCCTCGCCAATACCACCGTCCACCGAATCATATTCGGATTTCTTTTCTGCGGGCTTCGTGCCATCCGACCCAACGATACCGGCTACGGAAATGGATGTCCTGAACTTTCAAATAGACGACTTCCAATCAACCTCCCTTTCACTACCCATGCTAGAGTTGCCAGATGGGGACGATCTCGATGCACTGCTAGCCTCCAGTCATGAACCCTCAGTCGTGGAAGTGACAACCCCAGCAGCTCGGCCTGCAGACATCCAATACGGCCCTGGCGTGACCTGCCATTTTGCCCGTGCCCTCGGCCTGCTCAAAGATCTCCCTTCTCCGTCGACCCTATGTTCCCCGTCCGTTCGAACTCCATCCGGCCATGCTCCCACAATTTATTCCGTCATCAACTGCAACGAGCAGGCGGTGGAAGCCATCAGTGAAATGCTTCAATGCGATTGCACCGATGACGGACATCTCCTCGCAATCCTAGCAATCATTGTCCTCAAAATCCTCACCTGGTATGCCGTAGTTGTTCGACAAACCCCAAACATTGATGCGGAGAGCGCTGAGTGGGGATTTCCGAGCGTGGATCAGCCAATCCAGAAGCGATATGCGCCAGAAGGGAAGCGCAGCTATGGCGTCGACAGTGACGATCACGTACGTTTGACTGGACAACAGATACTCAGCCAGTTGCATCGCGTGCAACGATTAGTAAACACACTCTCCCAACGCTTTCAGTGCGTAGGTGGTCGAGATGGCGCACCCCCAACCCCCCCGTTCGATAACAATGCGGATCTCTTTACATCCATTGAGACTATGTTTCCATTTCCTATCTCCATTTTCGATCAAATGCAAGCAAACCTGCGCAAGCGTCTTCGTGACTTGTCAGCAGAAATTATGGATCTACTACGGTGATACGATATTTATGATTATGACGGTTTCGGATTATTTTCATTGTGGAGCAGCGGCCTTAGATTTGCATCCGATCAACTGTCAAGACGGATCTATGCCTTGATAAACTTTAGTACATAGGCAGACATATATCTTCACATACTCTTCTTATACTTTCAAATATGTCATTCTCTTCCACGGCGTATGGCTTGCTAGTAGGTGGTGCTAGGCGCAGAGGAAGTTAAGCCTTAGATCTAAGGACCCCAATAACGAGTTTCCCAAGCAAGCGGATCATCCGTAAATTTGTGTCCCAACACCCAAACCCATATTTTGATTTAATAATGAGATGTCTAATGGTTTACTACGTCTATTACGTATTGGGATGGCCACTGATCATCGCCATTTCCATAGGGTATCTCATATTTGTTATTTGCCTCCTGGTAGAAATACGGAATTGCTATTGATCTGGGTAGACTTGGTACTTAATCTCCAACGCGACTGCGCCACCTCGGCCCCTCGATCTCACTTTATTCACCAACACTAGCCGGCCCTCACTATTGCCCATCCCATTCAATAACCCAATGACTTCCGACATTTCATGTTCACGCTCGTTTGCTAACTGCATCAAGGACAAATCTCGTAGACGTGATTCAATTCCTGGATCCGCATGTATCGTCCCCCGTTCAGGTAATGCCGGTGCCGTGAGCACTAAGGTGGCAGTAGGTCTTTTGTGTAGCACGCTCAAATGGGCCCGCAGCTCGCTGTCAAGCTCCGCCATGAGGGACGTCCATGTTGCCCCTGGTTCTGGCAGAGGAAAATTGATTATGTAGATACTGGCATCCTCGATTGGCTGCGGGGTGCCTGGATCGCGGTATTGAACTTGAATTCGTGGGTGTCGGAGTTTCGGCGCTGGGGTGCCATTACTGCTGATGGACGATGGAATAGAGGCAGTTGAGCTCATTTGGGCAATCAGCCGGTAACAGGGGTATTTATTTGCGAGTTCCAGCACGCGCTCAGTGGATCTCGCGCCAACCTATAGTGATATCAGTCAAGCGGTCGCGAATTTCCACATATGCATCTGTAGCATACCTCTACCACCAGTGATCCGGCGCCGATTTGACTTGTCCCCAAACAAGTAAGGATATCTGTTGCGGTATCACAATGATGCCCAAGGCCATATCGAAGATACGCGCGCCACTGTCGCTGCAGTCGCGGGAGCTCGGACTTTTCTGCATTTGCAAAAATGCCCTCGTGGAACATCACCTCTTGAGCCTTTTGCGGTGAATCTCTTACTTGTTTTGTTGCAGCAGCCATCTTCCACGCAGCTGGAGCTGCTTTATCAGCAAGGAACATGGCTGCATCTAGGTACGATGGCTTGGCCACGAAGGCAGCCGATAGTGGACTGTGAGCCACATGTCCCGGTTTTGCTTCTTGTAAGAACCCGCCCAAACTAGCTACACTGACGATGCGCCCAAGTTGTGTCTCCGGAACTCCAATCAAATCCGATACATCTTTCATCAAAGCACTACCGTCCATCGGAATGCATGCAGGAACTTGGAACTCCCCTAGCCACTGGATACAAGCAAGGAGCTGGGTCTATCGAATGTAACATGTTTCAGCTCATCAGCAGATGCTTGTTTTTAGAACCGATTTCAATGAGAACAAACCTGAAGTGCCAGCTGCTGTAAAAAGTCACCCGGCTCAAACAACATTATTTGAAGCCTGGTTAGGTTGGCTAGCGCTAACTCTCGGGCGCGACAAGCACCGTTAGAGCTATCTGGGGTAGTCACACGCGTTGGGTTAATTCCGGAGCTTTGCACAGGGAAAGCGACATGGTGGCTGTGGGTAATAAAGCTTTGAATTGCACTGGACAGCTCTCGAAAACAGGTCTCTAGTTGTGACAGGTCTGCCATTGGGAGATTGGAGATATAATTGAGCAATAGAGTTACCTCTCGGATGGAATTTGGGGTACAATGTTTCAACGTTTATATGCACGTGACTAAGGAGGCTAACAGGCCCCTCGGTTTTCGGGTTTTGCAATTGCAAACGCTAGACATGCAGGTGACGAAGCTAAATTCTGACTTGCTGTAATAGTCCCTGGATGCATGGCAATCGTCTGCAGGTCTGACATCGCATCATTTACGTGGTATTGATGTACGCATCTTACCGGTACTACACTCCGGGAAGATAATACCGAGGTGCAGATTACTCGGCCTCCGATTTGACGCTTGAACAATTCTGACATCGGCGAGATTATTTTCGGCGGAGGGAAGCGTCTGGCGGATGTCGCTCCGCATTTTTGGTGGGGGCGGGCTTGAAGCTCTCGGTAGCGGTTGGACCCCCGAAGGCGTGACAGTCAGAAGCCTGTACTTAGAATATTCAATGTTGAACTAGATCGCATATTCTCGGGTCCGTTCTCTCGCCGGGTGTTTTCATTGCATATCCACTACCAGTCAGCAATGCTGACTCTATGGGCGTTATCTTAGAAATGCTGACCTACCCTGGACAAATGATTAAAGCCCCGTTTCTCCATGTGGGAGATATTTACTCCGTAGACAGGTTATTGTAAGCATTAGCTGTACCGAATGAGCTATGGTGGATATAGTATCGTGGGTGAGCTGTAATTTGGTGGAAATGAGCCCGGGAAGATGATCAGTAATCCCATAGCCCATCCTTGATTGGTTCGCAAGTTGTCTGGAGGAAACAATGTTCCCGATGTTGATCCTCGGTGCTCGGAAAGGCATATTTCGAGATACGAGAGCTTCATGGCTGACACCGATGGGTGTTCCATCAATTCTTATATATAAACCAACACTGACAAGACATGTAGATCGTATCGTACATCTAAGCCATGGGAGAAGCGACATTAGATATCCAAAACGGCGTATTGAGAAAAATGAAGCTCATCTACTTCAGTAATGAGTTTCCCCAAGACGACTTGCAAACAGTTTTCCGCAAGCTTCACAATCACAGCAAGGACAGACGACACTCAGTTCTTGCTCGGTTCCTCAAGGAAGCCACTTTGGCTATTCGTGAGGAGGTACGCCAGCTTCCACTGACATTGCGAAGTCTGATTCCCCCATTTGAGAACATCTTGGATTTTGCAGACTTCACCGACCTTCGCAAGGGCCAACTCTGTGGATCCATTGATGGTATCCTCCTGTGTATGCTGGAATTGGGGACACTTATTGGGTGAGTGCCATTTCACTTAACTGCAGGACTATGTGTGCTGATCATCCCGTTTTAGCTATTATGAAAATAATGAAAATGCATTCAGCACCGATGCCTCGAGTACTAGTCTTGCTGGCCTAGGCATTGGCTTACTGGCAACAGCAGCTGTCTCTATAGCTCCGACAGTGAGTGACCTCGCTCTCGCTGGATCTCAAGTCGTGCGACAGGCCTTCCGACTGGGAGTCTTGGTTGATGAGGTATCGCAAAACCTTGAGCCTCGTGATACCAGCGAGGGCAGCTCACCAGATACTTGGGCATATGTTCTGCCAAATGTCTCTGCCGACGACGTCCAGCCTGAGCTAGATGCCATTCAAAAAAGCGAGGTGACTATATTCCTCATCTCAAATATTGGGAAGCAAAAACTGATAATAAATATCAGAGAATCCCCGGACCAAGCAAGATCTTCATTAGTGCGCGAAGTGCAACTTCTGTCACCATCAGCGGTCCTCCTGCACGGTTGCAGGCTATGTTTCGCAATTCCAAGTTCTTCCACGAGCATAAATGTATTGGCTTGCCGGTGTATGGGGGTTTGTGTCATGCAGGTCATATCTACACCTTGGAAAATGTGCATCATGTGGTTCGAACGCGCTCGATGCAGTTGCTTGATGCCAAATTCTCACCGCGACTGCCCGTATACTCAACCAGCACTGGAACCCCGTTTCCAGCGACCAGTGCAACACATCTCTTTGAATGCATCATCGAAGAAATCCTCACGCAACCCATTGAATGGGACCAAGTTATTAAAGGAGTCGGGAAGCTTGCGGAAGGTCTGGAGGCGACTCAATTCCAACTTGTGGTCTTCCGAATCTCGCTTCCAATTCGTGATCTGGCAGATTATTTGCAGCACAACTCTAGCGTGGACACATTGACAGAAGAGATATTGCCGTGGGTAAACAAAAGCGAGGCATCCGATGAGGGAGGACCACGAGGACCACAGCAGTCTAAGATCGCGATCGTGGGCATGTCATGCAGAATGCCAGGCGGGGCAACCAACACTGAGAAGTTCTGGGAGCTCCTCGAACAGGGGCTAGATGTTCACCGCAAGATTCCCTCGGATCGATTTGATGTGGAATCCCACCACGACTCAACTGGGAAGAGGATGAACACCAGTCATACTCAGTATGGATGCTTCATTGACGAACCCGGTCTGTTTGATGCTCCATTCTTCAATATGTCGCCACGGGAAGCAGAGCAAACGGACCCCATGCAGAGACTAGCGCTTGTGACAGCGTATGAAGCGCTAGAGAAAGCCGGATATGTCGCTAATCGAACTGCTGCGACGGACCTTCACCGTATCGGAACCTTCTACGGCCAAGCGAGCGACGATTACCGTGAAGTTAACACTGGGCAAGAAATCAGCACGTATTTCATCCCCGGTGGATGTCGTGCCTTTGGACCTGGACGCATCAACTATTTCTTCAAGTTCTCCGGGCCCAGTTACAGCATTGACACGGCTTGCTCCTCTAGCTTAGCCACAATTCAGGTAAGGAACCCATCCAATGCGACCAAATATGCCATATATGCTAATTATTTTGTCTTCAGACTGCTTGCACAGCACTTTGGAGTGGTGATATTGATACTGCAGTGGCTGGTGGCATGAACGTTCTGACCAACTCCGATGCCTTTGCTGGACTCAGTCACGGCCACTTTTTGTCGAAGACGCCCAATGCGTGCAAAACATGGGATAGCGAGGCCGACGGTTATTGCCGTGCAGACGCGGTTGCATCCATCGTTCTCAAGCGACTGGAGGATGCGGAGGCGGACAATGACAACATCCTCGGTGTCATTGTGGGCGCAGGAACAAATCACTCTGCCGAAGCCGTTTCCATCACGCATCCCCATGCTGGCCATCAATCTTATCTGGGAAATCTGGTAGCTAACAGAGCTGGAGTAGACCCCCTGGATATCGGGTTTGTTGAGATGCACGGCACTGGCACCCAGGCTGGTGACGCAGAAGAGATCCAGTCAGTGACCAATGTCTTTGCACCGACAACGAAGCGACGCAGCGCAAAGAACCCCCTTTACATCGGGGCCGTGAAGGCAAATGTGGGCCATAGTGAGGCCGCAGCCGGTGTGACAGCCCTAGTAAAGGTCCTTCTGATGCTGCAAAAGAACGCCATCCCACCACATGTTGGCATCAAGAACAGCCTCAATCCCATATTTCCCAGTGACCTGGAGAAGCGGCAGGTCTTTATCCCCTACCAGAAGACTGAGTGGCTGCGGACGCCAGACAAGAAGCGCATGGCTGCTGTCAACAATTTCAGTGCGGCTGGAGGCAACACTACAATCCTACTTGAAGACGGACCAATCCGAGAGGTGACGGAAGCAGATCCTCGCTCAACTCATGTGGTGGCCATATCGGCCAAAAGTAAGATTTCACTCAAAGGCAACCTAGATCGGATGATTGCCTATCTTGAACAGAATCCAGACCTCTCGCTGGCTGATCTGTCGTACTCTACCACTGCACGTCGCTACCACCATAACCATCGTGTTTCCTTTGCAGCTTCAGGCGTTCCCCAGGTCCTCAAGCAGTTGAAGTCAGCTCTTCACTCTGCGGAGACTCACAAACCTATTAAAGGTACCGGAGCACCATCAGTGGCCTTTTCTTTCACAGGCCAAGGAGCATCGTACAAATCGTCCAACTACGAGTTGTTTTCATCCCCCGTCTTCCGGTCTCACATTCAACATTTGGACACTATTGCACAGGGCCAGGGATTCCCTTCATTCCTTCCGGTCATTGACGGCACCCACGAAAAGGAGTATCAACACTCACCTATCCTGACCCAGCTAGCATTGGTCTGTTCAGAGATCGCAGTCGCGAAGTATTGGGCTACATTAGGAGTGAAGCCGGACGTTGTTATAGGACACAGTCTTGGTGAATACGCTGCCCTGCACATCGCTGGTGTACTGTCTGCTAGCGATGCCATCTTCCTCGTGGGACAACGGGCCGCCCTTCTTCAAAAGAAGTGCAAAGCGGGTAGCCATAAGATGCTTGCGGTTCGAGCTTCACTAGCTCAGATCCAAGAGGGCGATCAAGGCTTACCGTACGAGATTGCTTGCATCAATGGGCCAAAAGAGACTGTGCTGAGCGGACCCAAGCATGAGATGGATGATATCACTCCCATCCTCGAAAGCCAAGGGTACAAATGTTTCAGTTTGGATGTCCCCTTTGCCTTTCACTCCAACCAAACGGATCCTATCCTTGAAGACTTCGAAACACTAGCCACAAGCGGAGTACTCTTCCAGGCCCCCCAGATTCCCATCATCTCCCCTTTACTTTGCAAGGTGGTTTTCGACGAAAAGAGTGTGAATGGGAACTATGTTCGTCGCGCAACACGAGAGGCGGTCAATTTCCTTTCTGCGCTAGAGGCGGCACATAACATCGGAATCATCAACGAAGAAACTACCTGGGTGGAGGTCGGCCCTCACCCTGTAGGAATTGGATTTGTCAAATCCACCTTCCCCTCTGTTAACGCAGCGGTTCCATCTCTACGCCGTGGAGAAGATAATTGGACCACACTAGCCCAGAGCCTGGCCACTCTTCATGGGGCGGGCATCAAAATCGAATGGAGCGAGTTCCATCGGCCCTTTGAGAGCTCGTTACGTCTGCTGGACTTGCCCACTTACGCATGGAGCGAGAAGCGGTACTGGATCCAGTATAAGGGCGACTGGGCTCTCACGAAGGGCAACACGTTCTACGATGAGGAGAAGGGCCTTAACAAAGCCCAAGCCACGTTGCCCACGCCAAAGTCAAGTTTGAGCACATCAACCGTCCAGCAGATCATCGAACAAAGCTTTGATGGTGTTGCGGGGACAGTGGTTATGCAGTCTGATCTGATGCAAGCGGATTTCCGTGCCGCAGCCTGGGGTCATAAAATGAATGGATGTGGTGTCGTCACTTCGGTAAGTCTGCTTCAGCACTCAACGTCCTAAAAGCACTTGGACAAATACTAATTCGATCAACAGTCTATCCACGCAGATATTGCTTACACACTTGGTGAATACTTGTATAAAAAGCTCAAGCCCAAGACAAAGGAGGTCCACATGAATATATCCAACTTGGAGGTCCTCAAAGGACTCGTCGCCAACAGCAACGTGGAGAGCCATCAACTCATTCGGGTCGCCGTGACTACATCAAACATTGATGCCAATACCGCCGAACTGACCTGGTACAATGTCTTATCAAACGGGAGTGTCGATGAGCCATTTGCCAGCGCCACTCTTGTGTACGGTAACCCAGCCGAATGGCTTGACTCTTGGATCTCGATCACCCACTTAGTTCAGGGCCGGATCCAAGACCTCGAGCGCCTGGCGGAGTCTGGGGTCGCTAACCGCTTCACCCACAACATGACCTACCTCCTCTTTGCCAACAATCTGGTCGACTATGCGAACAAGTACCGTGGGATGCAATCCGTGGTATTGCACGAATTTGAAGCCTTTGCCGACATTACCCTGTCCACCGAGAAAGGTGGCACCTGGACAGTTCCTCCATACTTCATCGACAGTGTTGCCCACCTAGCTGGCTTTGTCATGAACGTCTCGGACGCCATGGACACTAAGAATAACTTCTGCGTCACGCCTGGCTGGCGCTCGATGCGATTTGCCAAACCACTCGTGGCTGGCGCCCAGTACAAATCTTACGTGAAGATGATCCCGACTGTCGAGGATCCAAGTGTGTACCTTGGCGATGTGTATGTTCTCCAGAACGGATTGGTGATTGGAATGGTGGGTGGGATTCGATTCCGCCGGTATCCACGAATTCTGTTGAGTCGCTTCTTCTCGGCGGCTGATGACACCAATGCACCACCAGTCGCTGCCACAGTTTCTTCGAAGTCTCATATTTCGACTGTTTCTCAGCTAGCCCCTCCGGCAGCAGTAAGCGTGCCCAACGTTACGAAAGCCACCTCTGTCATCCCTGTTGCCGTCAATGGCGTCAAATCGGATACTGCTATTAAGCCTCCCGATGTGATTTCGAACGGCATCAAGCCTGCGACTCCTGCCCTAGCTGTCGATGTGGTTTCTGATACCACGACTGCCAAGGCTATTCGGATCATTGCATCAGAGTCCGGACTCGACCTTGCTGATCTGACTGACGATGCGAGCTTTGCAGACTTGGGGATTGATTCCCTGATGAGCTTGGTCATTGCGGAGAAGTTCCGAGCGGATCTCGGGGTGGTGGTTGGAGGTAGTCTTTTCTTGGAGTATCCCACTATTGGGGACTTGCGCACTTGGTTGGAGGAGTACTACAGTTAGAACTGGCATGTGTTCTTTTTGTCTTTTTGTCCCATGCGTTCTGGGTAAAGATTGTGTGTGTACATGGAGTTATTTAATGTTAGAAAGGGCTGAGGGGATTGTATGTCCACACGCCTTCGTTTGAGATATGTTCTTTTGCCTGTTCGATCTCTTTTGGTTAGGGATTTTTGATATATAAATTCCAAGGTTACATTATGTGAATTAAATGGTGACGGGTGAATCGCAACAGTAACACACCGGCGCTGTAACATCTAGCAATATACTACACAGACTCCATGCATATATAGATACGGAGAAAGGTAATGGCGAGCTAGGAGAAGAGAGAGCAATACTACTGTATTGTGCTAACTGAAATAGCTAGAGACTCCCTTCTATGGCTGAGGGGAAAAGAAGGAGAGGAGAAACTAGCTAGTAGAGAAGTCCTGGCAAATAGGGTCAGGTGACCACACGTCCCGTGATCCCAACCATTAAGGAAGAAGGGGTTAAATTAATTGACGCGTTTTGGGTGAGGTGCGCAGCTCGCTTACCGAATACGTTAGTTGGCGTCTAATATACGCTCGCTGATATTATGTGTAGAATTTTGGCGGCCCCCTAAAAGGGGCGGCTACTAGCTCCCTAGCGCTACTATATCTTCTACTAATATAAAATTGTGGTTAGGAGATAGAGCCGGAAGTTACAATTAACTTGCCATTAAAATGAGAGCTGTAGCCCTCGGCGTTATGGTGTAATTTCAAAAATTAGTTTCGCGCAAAGATACGCGTTTTTGTTGGTCTCTTCTTCCTTCTTCCTTTGCTCCGCAAGGACTTTATCCGTTACAGTGAGAACAAAAGGCAATTGGGTTTGTCTCAGATTAAGGCGCTAGGCCGCTCATCTTAGCAGATACGGGGTATAGATCGTCTCTTCCCCCTGTAGATCACTCCCACAGTGACCACAATTGTAATAATTTTCGGAAATTTCCCACGTATATGTGGGGCAAACATTGATTAAATATATGCAGATGATGTGTTCGCGCATTCAGAAGAGGCTAAATTTACGGATTCTTTGTGGTAAGGTTGATAAGGTCATTGTTCAGGATGTATATGTTGTAGTGTCTTGTAGTGAGTGCGGAGTAGTTTCATCTCAACCCGAAAGATCCATAGATAGGCAGCACATGTTAAGGACATGTTAAACTTATGAGAAACATGTCGTACATTGCATTGTCAGCTCACTGCCCCACTTAAAAATATTACAAGGCAGGGTTTCATATAAACATTTTCACGCCTCATGTGAGACAACTTCACAATGTCTCGACGAACGGCAACAGTGATCTTGGCAGACCCCAGACTTAAGAAGCGACATTGGCCCTAGTAAACTTGAATTATTTACTCTGTCTAGGTGAACCATTTTTTTCTAAACATCTTCTCGGTCTTTGCTGTAAACATGAAATTCAGCTTTGCTCTATTCTTCGTGGCTGTGGCAGTTGCAGACAGTCCAGCCAAGAGGGCCGGTACGATCTCAGTTACTGGCTCGCCCCCAGGGTTCGCATACGGCGTCACCGGAGGTGGAAAGGCGGCGCCAGTTTATCCCACCGATGTCAAGAATCTAATCGAGCTTCTGGAATCTGATGATCCTCAGGTCATCGTTATCGACAAGACATTTGATTTCATCGGAACGGAAGGAACAACGAAGGGAACAATTTGCAAGTCATATGGCGCCTTTGAAGATGGCTGCCAGTCCACGATCGATATCGGAAAAGGATGCGATGGTAAACCGTCCGAGCAGTATGAGTGGGATACTGCTGGAGTCGAAGGAATCCGTGTTCACTCAGACAAGACGATCATCGGAGTCGGAAACAAGGGTGTTCTCCTCGGCAAAGGACTGAGAATGGTCGATACCTCCAACATCATTATTCAGAACATTATGATCACCAATCTCAACCCACAGCTTGTCTGGGGTGGCGATGCGATCACACTCTCTAACACTTCCAATATCTGGATTGACCATGTTACGGTTAGTCAAGCTCTCCTGTCCATAATTATAGCCTCACTGATTGTTACCTGGATTTTAACTAGACTCAATACACTGGCCGTGTACACTATGTCTTTGGCCAGGAGGCGAACTCCCATGTTACCATCTCCAACAGCTTCATGAATGGCGCAACCAATTTCTCTACTTCGTGTGACGGACAACAATACTGGGGATTGGAACTTGTCGGGGCCGATGACCAGATCACCTTTGCAAGTAAGTGTTTCGAACCATACTACCCCGATACCAATCTATAGGAACCTAGGAGACACTAACATCTGTCCGCTAGACAATTACGTATACCGCACATCGGGCCGTAGTCCTGCACTGAGCGGCAAGACTCTCTTCCACGCCGTCAACAGCGTGTGGGAGAATAACAGTGGCCACGCCATTGAGGGTACTGACGATGGCCAAGGTCTCTTCGAAGGCTGTGTCTTCAATAATGTCACCCAAATTGTCGGGGATTACGTCGGTCAACTCTTCAGCTCACCGGATGCTACTGCAAACAAAGCATGCTCTGCCGCGCTCAAGAGGGACTGCGAGACGAATATTCAAGTTGACAGTGGTCCTTTTACGAATGCGGATACTAAGTTCTTCTCTAACTTCGCCGGTCTCACCGTCGCAACTGCAAGTGCAGCTTCGGCGGCCCAGGCAAGCGTCCCAACCATTGCTGGAAACACGCTTAACAATGCCTAATAGCGAGGAAGAACGGGATGATAACGAAGAAGAAAGGATAGAGGATTGAGCTGAGCTAGAGCGCATAAGGCTCGGGCAGAGTGACCTCACTGTTGTGTGGGATGAACAGGAGAAGCAGGAAGCAGGATTGATAAGAAAAAGTCACCTCTAAGGACAACCTTGGAAATACGGCGCGCTTAGTAATTTAATATATACATCTCGACGGTCTTGACTCTTGGCTAATTCATTAGGCTGAGGAAACTCGTAGGTAGCCCGTAGGGGCCACACAAATGACATGATAAACACGAAGTAGATCAAGCGATTTAATAGGTTGCACCACTTATTAGGGTTTAGTGACTGTTAGCGAACTGGAGAAGATATGCGCGGAAGTTGTGAAGAGAGTCTATGGAAAAAATAGGCAGTCATAGGTGCTTATGTCGGATTGGATACGATGATTCCATTTGTCAGTTATAGAGATATTTTCGATGGTACTGGAAAACATCGGGCGGCGCCAAGACATACTGACAGAAAACTGGCGTACGAACAATGTATGGTATAGATGACCAATGTTGACAACTCTCTAACGTATTTCACAAGCGAGCCGCCACCACAAGCGAGCCGCCATCTCCAAAACACATAGTAAATGCGACATATTCTATATTTATATCTTAACAACCACGTTCTTATTTTGCTTCATCGCTTGTCGATAACTTTTGATAAGGCTTATTAAAACTATATATCACTTTTAAGAAATAGAAATAATATATTAGCCTTATTTTAAAACTTACGGAAAATTATATTGCTGTAAGCTAGAAATATATATACAGTAAACCCCCGTTATAACGATACCGGATATAACGATAACCCGGTTATAACGATCGGAATTCGGTGCTTGAATTGATCCGCCATACAAAAATCGTTAAAACCTCTTTTCTACGATTATCGTTAATTCATCTGCTCCCCTACGCAAAATATCGTTATATCTAGTGCTTTATTAAGCAATTCAACCAATTAAAATGCCTCGCCGATCTATCCAAACCTCCTAAAAGATCGCTCTTCGACAGTACTACCGAAGCCACCCCTTACTTATATATAAGTAGTTAGCTAATTGGTTCTACGAGACTTATAACTATCGTATTTCTTAGTCTACAATCTCTAAAATCCTTTCCTCCCGATACCTTTACTTTAACGCGGAGCTCTCGAAGTATCAATTAAACGTAAAACGGGCTCGGATAGCGCGGTAGCTAGACCTTAAAAAGGCCCTTATTTACTAGATAAAAGTCGCTAAATCTTATATTCCTATAACCTAGGAGGTTATACGTAAAAAAGCACGCTTTTTCTAGGGCTAGCTACCTATTTATATAGGTATTAAAATACCTATATTTAGTAATAGCTAGCTTACTAGGTTTTAGTACCGTGAATCAATACGTAATCGTTTATACTATAGTGAAGATAGAAGTACTCCGGAGCTTACTTCTAAGGCTATGGTTTTAATTCGTTAAGCTCTTCAATTATATAGCCCTTAGGATATATTTAATTGTGACGAAACTAGCCTTTTTTTAGAAGCGTATCCCTGACCGAGGCCTTTTAACCCGATCTTTACCTAGAAGAAAGAAGGAGAAGGCTAGGATTATAGCCTTATTTTATTATAATTTAGATGGATCTAAGAAGCTAAAACCATGGTTTATTGGTATATATTCTTACTCCCTACGCCATTGCTAGTTATACTTACCATTGCTTACTATGCTTGCCATTGCTAGCTATACTTGCCATTGCTAGCTATGCTTGCTATTACTAGCTATACTTACCATTGCTAGCTATGCTTGCTATTGCTAGCTATACTTGCCATTGCTAGCTATGCTTACTATTGCTTGCTATACTTGCTATTGCTAGCTATGCTTGCCATTGCTAGCTATGCTTACTATATTATTACTTCCTATACTAATAACTACTATATAGGCATAGCTAAGAAGCCCCGTGCTTTTACTACTTCCCACGTTAATATTAATAATCTTAATATACGCTAGAACTCGAATAATAAAGCCTAGATAACTAGTAAGATCTTCGAAGACTAGCTTCGGTAGTTTAACGCTATAATGATTTATAGGAAGGTAGTACTTCTTATAGATAATTTCTCTACGTATGAATCTATAGTAAAGGCTATTAATAATAGTACTTTACCACTCTAAAATACCTTGATTATATAGCTTCTACCGAATTTAACCTCCCGTTTTCAACTACTTGATCAAGGTATTATTAATACGTAGAAAGCGTATTAGAAGCGCTAATAGGTTAAATTCATACTTTATAAGTTTGATGGG